GTGAAAAAAAACTGGATTTCTTTGAACTATTCTGTAACACAGACACTGAATGAGAAGTGACAATTCAAATTTCATACACAAATTTTATCGAATTGTTTTCTCTTGGGTTTAACTCAGCACCTACTTCAACCAACTGGAAGAAATCAGTAATTATTTTCGAATAGGCCAAATCGTCCACTTGATTTTGGTTTTCTCAGTCAAAATGACCTTAAACACACATTTTAGTGTACTTGATTCATTGCATTTCTTTACAAAACTATTTTGTAAGGGGCTTAATATACCATCAAGATATCAGCAACCGATGGCAAATTTGTTCATTTTGTAAGAAGTGAGTGCTAACTCACCTCTAGTTTTTCATATTCTCGATTTTGTTTATAATCAATTGATACTTAACGGTAATTATTGTTATTATAAGATAATACGTTAAAGTTAGAAAACAGTGAGAAATAATGACTACACGTTTGAGTACCAGTCTACATCAATTAGAGAACCGTTGGAACCACTCTCCCATCCTATTTTGAGAACCCTCATCAGTACACACACACACACAGTGGGAGTCGATCACAGGACCTTCCAGTTACAACGTGAACTCGGAGACTATTCATTATAGGCGAATAACGGATCTCTAACCTGACGTGGTGGAACTGACCTCACAGAAACTTCGCCACCTCTCAATTTTAGGACAGCGCTAACCAACGCCACGGATAAACACCCACTTTACACCTAACATGGTAGATCCCAGTGGTCATGACTTCTCATTAGAATTTCAGGATATGAATCCTGTAGGCGTTGATAATAGGGGAATTCTGATCTCACTGAGAAAAAGCAATAAAATGTAAAAGTCAACGAAAGACGAAAACTTATGTTTCAGACACCGAGTACCTGAAATGCTGATTCCCACTTGGGTGGTTCAGTATATCAGTACAAAAACTATTTGAATCTCAGGCAGTAGCACATTTCTTTATGTCATGCATTCTTTTGGTTAGTGTTTATGTGATTCGCATTGATATCTTATAATAAGCAGGTACTTCAAATGTAACCTGTTGTAACAGGAGAAGATAAGAGACATGGTAACAGACCTGTATGAAGGAAAAAACATATTTATACATCCTTAAACACATCAAAGCTCGGCTAAGTCAGAGGAGAATAAACTGTTCTGACTGGTTGGCAATCGACCCAAGGTTAAGCAAGTTGTCCAATGAAGATGTTTCCCGTCTACAAAGTAAACTAAATCCAGATTTGCGAGATAAACACTTCTGACTTTGCAGCCATTGACTTGGATCATTGATTACACATTTGACCTGTTCCTATCAATCTGCATCACACTACACTATCCCTTTATTACAACTGCTTCCATATGGTTGCAATAAAAACTGACCCGAGATAATTTCAATGGAAATGAATGAGAAAGCATCGCTAAATCTCAGTAGCATGAATTTTGATTGTCTACTACATTGAAAGGATAATAGGCAGTCTTTTATTAACACACAGAACTTGTGAGTGATTAATTCATAAACTGAGTTTTCTTGCGTACTAATTAAATAAAGAAATAATGGTCTGGTGATGATGTGAACCTAGATACATGAGTCATCAAACTAAAACGTGAATCATTCTAATACGGGTAAGATAATTATCATTCCCTCATTTCTTTATTTATTCATAATGTTTCAAAGCTTGGAAACAAAATGATGACAACAGTGAAAATGAAACTACTTTTGCGACTTGTTATTTTTGTTTTATCTGGGTGAAAATAATTGTATACCTTGCTAATTATATCGTGCAACTGTCATTCAAATATTCGACTTTAGGGTAAACATGGAACCTGGTTGAAGGATTTCATCATGAGATGACATCAGCTAGAGAACCGCTGGAAAACCTGGGGGCACTGGCCAGCCAGCTGTTTCGTCCCAGTTTGGCACTCTTCGCCAGTTCACACTCACCCCAACCCAGAACTTTCTGTTTAATAGGCGAGCTTGTAGACCATTAAGCCCATGGATTCCAACTTCTCCAGATTCGAGATATAGTGCAACCATTAGCCAATGTCTTTGGCGAGTATTTGTTCTCATACCCAACCTGTTATGCCTTAGTGGTCACGACTTCCCACTAGAACCCCAGGCAACTAGCTACCTGAATACGGCCAGTGGCTGGTGAGCATCTCATTGATATTTGAGTACTGGGTTGTAGGGAATGGATAGTGACCAGAAGGGTACAGCAAGTCGGGTGTGAGAACAAATACTCGCCACAGATGACATTGGCTAGTGGTCACGCAAAGTCGTGAGTTGGCAGAAGTCAGAATTCATTTATTGGCCATTGAATCGGGTCCCAGTGGCTCAATGGTCTACGAGCTCGCTAGCCTTGTAACCAGAAGGTCCTAGCTTCGAACCCAGTTGGGGTGGGTGCGTACTGATAAAGAGTCCCAAAGTGGGGCCAAACATCTCTCCAGTACTCCCATGTTTTCCAATGGTTCTCTAATTGATGTCAGCTCCAACCAACCAAACAAAAATCCTTAAGTGGAGAAAAGACAATAACCAATCAGAAGCAAACACTGATTTTGTCATAATTTGAGACTGTTGATTAGTATTCTGTGCAAGAGACTAATAAGTTATGATATAAGCACATCATCACTTCGATATGCTCCTGGAACAGTAAAGACCTATAATTTCTGATTTCAAATACTTGTTTTTATAGTGCAAACACCATCTATCGATATCCAAGAATACTGTTCTCAAATCTAGTTTGGTGAATTATGCTCATCATAAGACTCAGTTTCTGGTTTCAAAAAGTATTTGTTTCTAAAGTAGACTGTAAATACTACTGTAACGACAGAAGACAAGGACATCGCAACAGATTGTTTACTTACAAAATCAACACATATTTATAGATTTTTATGTACATTATTATAGATTATTGTTAACAGAAAAACACAGGCTTCTGATCGGTTGTCTCTCACAGAAAGTTAACCTTCCATCTCTTTGTGGCTGTTTCTTGAATGTCAGATCACCTATATGCTAACTGTATCCGCCTACGCAAAGCCTTTCTTCTCATTTTCCTCACGACCAATATTGGGGATATAAACATTGACGTAAATTACTGTCCACCAATTTTGGCTTACAACCTCCTCTCTCCACACTATTACTACTACTACTAATAATAATAATAATGTAGATAAGATTAATTATTTATTTTTTGGTTATTTTCAACTTTATTATTCTTGATATCAATTACAATGACTATTTAGAAAATATCATAGAAACTTCAGTCAGCTAATATGATGGTTTAATAATAATAATAATAATAATAATGGCTTTATTCCGGAGAGTGCTTATATAATATGCAGGATTTTCAGTGGAGTTTATTGTATGATATTTCTTATTCATCCACGATATTCAGATACAATATTAATCGACGGCAGATCGTGTGTCACAGTGCTGTCTGACCAGAGGCTCAAACTAATCAATCTTTTGATGTTTCTCGTTTCCAATGAGAAACTCACAACATTTGGTTGAGAGCCAGTTATAAAAGGTTGAAGCACAAGGATATAACGCGGGGACAGCTATCTCATGTATTCTGGAATGTCCTTACTGAAGATTAGAATAGAAGGAACAACACAGATAATATCTTATATGATGATAAAGGATTCTCCGTAGCCCAAGCTTTAATCAGGCTTCCACTGGTAGTTAAAACGTGACCTTATAACACAAAGATCAAACCTCTAATAAGGTAAAATAGGATTCAATAATTAGCTAGACAAAATAAATTCAAAGAATAATTAGATTGATTCATTTGACGTAAACTTCTAGGAAATGCTAATTGTTTTTAGATACTTCTAACCGTCTTGATTGTCTACTCTGTAAATCTGAGAAATCATGCACAATACAGTTAACGAATGACCTTCAGATTCCACTACAACTAAAATGTTATGTATTCAACAGTTGCAACTCACCACAACATAAGCATCCAGCATTCTTTCATGTTATCGACTTTATTAGTTTGTAAATAATTGTGTCACTTAATCTCCATCTATGGTGATAGCTGGCTGTTAGCCAAAATTGGTGGACAGTAATTTACGTCAATGTTTATATCCCCAATATTGGTCGTGAGGAAAATGAGAAGAAAGGCTTTGCGTAGGCGGATACAGTTAGCATATAGATGATTTGACATTCAAGAAACAGCCACAAAGAGATGGAAGGTTAACTTTCTGTGAGAGACAACCGATCAGAAGACTGTGTTTGTTTACTTAAATAATCTGTAATAATAATGTACATAAAAATCTATAAATATGTGTTGATTTTGTAAGTAAACAATCTGTTGCGATGTCCTTGTCTTCTGTTGTTACAAAACTACTGAACTGCCTAGTTTTACAGTACTTCCTGAAATAAAACAGTCAAATTGGACGTCAAAGTGACTAGTCAATTCAATCAGACTTTATGGTACTTTGACACTAACAACAGACCATAGTTAACTACTGAACTAACTGATCATATGAAGGATTTCATCATGAGCTGACATCAGTTAGAGAACCACTAGAAAACCTGGGAGTGCTGGACAACTGCTTCATCCTAGTTTGGGGCTCTTCAGAAGTACGCACCCACCCCACCAGGGTTCGAAATCAGGAGCTTTTGGTTACAAGGCCAGCTCGTAGACAATTGAGCCACTGGGACCCAATCCAATGGTCCTTGAATTCTAAATTCTGCCAATTCACGACATACCGCGACCATTTCGCAATGTCTTCTTCGCTGAGTTAATGCCTCAACTTCAACCAGCTGTACCCTACTGGTCACGACTTCCCCCTAGAACTCCAGGTAACTAGCTGCCTAAATAGAGCCAGTTGCTAGTGAGCATCAAATGAATTTTCAGGTATTGGTTTTTTAGAGATTTTTTGTTTGATTGCATGGAGGATTTCATCATGAGCTGACAGAATTTATGTGTGAGGCAAGGAATGAATTTATTTCAGACGACTGATTTTCAGAGAAACAGTAAAAAGGCAATCTAAACATTCTCGCGAATAGAATATGTATTTTAGTGGAATTAAAAAATTTTTAAATAGAAACTGTTAATTCTAGAAGACGATCAAGATGAAAGTGTCAATATACTATAGAGTGACTGTGAAAAAAATTAAGCAAATAAATAAGCAGGGAATACTGACTAATTCGAATACGTACATCTTTCAAAAGTTTATAAGTTAGAATTGATGCAATGAATAGAAGAAGTAAAATTCATTGGACTGTTCAAAATGTATGAAGGAATGTATCTCACTGTGAAACTCAGTAATGTACCCTCCAATATAATGAATAATTCAGAAATTAACGGCATTGGTTGCTAACAGTAATAATAATACTTTAAGCGAATTGTAATCAACTCTGAAAAGTATGTGTTTGAAAAACCAGGGATATTAATATTCATTGTCAGAGGGAAATCTTCCAGTCTTTTAGAAATTATCATCTTTTGTGCAGATATTGTGAGCAGTAATATGTATTTCGATCTACTTTTAAATTGGAACCAGCTTTTTTGAAATAAAGACAAAATATGGTTTTGTGAAAGTAGATGGTCATTACTAATGAGAATGCCAGGACATATTATTAGTATTATTGTTACAGATGAAAATCCTGTTGTTCTGAATCTCATAACCGTTAGTGCCATATATATAAATGATAAATAGTGAAATAATGACACAATTCAAACAGACTAGTGAAAGATTTTGAATGTGTAACTTTTTCTTCTTCTTTAACACTGAAGCATCCATTTATGAAATCAATGAATCACTAAGATTGTCTATAGATGATGAAGATGTTGTATGAATCAATGGAAATGTTGAGAATAAATTGAATGTATTCGCAGAAAACTTTTGATTCATTCGAGGATATGCATCATCATTAAATATACGATTCTCATCACTACTAATTGATGAAGATGTTGAAAGGTTTAAAGGATTAGAAATTGTATTCCATTTACTGAGGTCATCATTATTCTCCTCAGTATCATTACTGGGTGGTTCTGTGGTGTGTATGAAATTTTGATGAGTATTTGAAACAGGGGCACTTAAATCAGATTCATTGTTCTCATTCATTTTTGTACTAATTTGATTGTTCAATGTGTTCATTGACTTCAAATTAATATCTTCAATTGGATTATTGAACAAATTTTCGTGTTGTATTGGATTAAGCTTGGATTTCTTTGGTACATTAGTATCGAAGGGAGAATTTTGGGGTATATAATTATCAGAAATTGTACTGTTAGTTGTTTCCCTTACTGGTGTTGATAATGCTGCCATCTTTTTACGCATATTTGCAAAGCAGTCTTTGTTATTCTTCGATTGTGAGCTGTTACTTATCTCCTTGATGATGCTGGGATCATTTTCACTACCATATCGTGTAGCACAATATAACTGTGTTACTCTAAGAAGAGTTTCTCGTAAATAAGGATCTTTCCCTAGAAAAAAGAAAATGTTTTAAGCAAAACAACTTAGTGTAGAAAATACGAAATAAAATGATTTAATATCAATAAATGAATCTGAATATCAATGTGTATTGGTAGTTTACGGATAAAATACCCTCCAGCCACTCATGTAGTCAGAGTTTGATCCCCTGCCAACATACATTTAAAGCCCTGAAAAGAAGGAAGGTTGACTGTGAGGCTACCAGCTTCACCATGTAAAAATAACCCGTACACTAGTGAAAATTCATAGGTCTAAGCTTGAAGTCATATGTCCCCTTGGGGAATCAAAAAAATGAAAGAAGCATTCCAGTATGAAATCATCACCTATTATTTGTTACTTTTATGAAACCAACCATGGAGGCAGTATTGGTTGTCTGCATAACTTTAGGTAGTGGGTACTGTCGGTATAGATTTTTTTCAAGTCTCATAGACTGAATTCATCTCCACCGCCTCATCTGAACTGATAGATGCTAGAAGACTTATACCGGCGGGCTCCGAATTCAATGAGGAGCGAAAGCTGCACAAGAGGAAACTTACGAAAAGTCTCCGCAAGGACCGTGAACAGTGGTGGCTGACAAAAGCCAAAGAGATGGAGAAAGCTTCGAGGATAGGCAACACCAGGCAACTCTTTAGACTCATCAGGGAAACGGGTGGGAGAAGACAAATCATCAGTGAGACAATCTCGGAAAAAAATGGCACTATAATTAGCTCCCAGGATAGACGACTGGATCGTTGGAAAGAGCATTATGAGGAGCAGTTTAATTTGCCCACAGCCACGCTCAACCTTCCGAGCATCCAACACCTCTCTGAATGGGATATAGACACAGGTCCTCCATCCCTAACTGAGGTTACTAAAGCTGTCACCAATCTGAAACTAGGCAAAGCAGCGGGACCTGATGGAATGACTCCAGAGGTATTTAAGTACGGTAGAGACAGCTTACTGTCTGGATTAACTGAGGTACTAGGCAGCGTCTGGGAATCAGAAGAAGTCCCATCGGGTTGGTGTAAGTCACTGAATTCAATGTATACTGGTAAATTTGCCAATAATATTTTTACTTTCAACAGGTAGTTTGTTTCAAGTTTGCTCATGAATTTAAATCAGGAGTACTGTACGTCTGTTTCATCCTAATCTGGAACTTTCCAGAAGCATGCATCTAGTACTCCGCTATAGAGTCGAATGCAGGACATTCAGGTTATCAGACCAAGCTCGTTAGCCATTCAACCACATGGATTGGAATCCAATAATATTTATATACTGCTGAAGATGCCGAAATTTTTGTGTCCTCCAAATGTTTACGCATGTCAAGTCTTTCTCTGACTGAGGATTTAGGTATTTCAAGCTGACGAGTCTTATATGGAACGAAACATCCATCTTAGATTCCACTGATGAACACCACGAAGGAAGTAACATCTTATTAACCTTAAGGCATCGTTAAAGAGTCCGTACTAGCAGATAATAAGTCAAACGAAACAGAGCATTAAAATCCAATAAAAACAGTCAATGGGAAGTTCAAAAATAATTGTTTCAACAAATCGCAGTTATTCAAGTGTTGGTTTGCAGGGATTTGATTGGTTTCAGGATTTCATCATTAGCTGACATTAGTTAGAGAACCATTGGAAGACCTGGAGTACTGGACAGCTGTTTCGTCCTAGTTTGGGACTCTTCAGCAGTACGCACCCACCGGGAAATCGCAGTTAATTAGTACTTCTGTTAAAGAGTAAGAAAATATATTCCTACAGAAAGTATAGATCATCATGCATTAATGTCAGTTAAATAATAAGCAGAAATAGTTAGTGGTACTATTCTAGAAATATTTCAGGTCAAATTAAAAAAATACAATGTGTAATAATCCAGAAGGTCGGGTAGCAAAGACATAATTAAGGTATAATAACTCAAAAGTGGCTTTAATAGTGAGAATAAAAATTGTAAATCACGTAGTACTCAACGGCATGAAGGTAGAACACGTTAGAAATTTGATAAGGTTGTTAAAGGTAGTTGAGTGTCAATTTAACAAGTGTGAAAATGTACAAAAGAAACATATGAGAGTGATAATAGTGAATTAATTATTAAAGAATAAGCAAACTGAAAGTAACATTAAAAATTAAAAATAATTTTTTGTTTACACGGAATGACTAGTGAAGCGCTTAAAGCTATGGTAAATAAGAGATTGGGCAACCTTTTTCTGTGAACGCCCCTACTATACACAAATGCCTAGACCTAACGCCCTTTGTATCATTTGACCTCACTTTGTAGATAATCTAGAGAGACAACTCTGGTGGAACTACGTGGCTTGAGTACGCCAAGTGCTCGAGAATTGATCTAGTAATTCTCTTGCAATATCCTTTTGCTAACCATGCCAGATAATGTTCAGAGATGCGCTCAGAAAGTGTTCACCTTTTGCAACCAATACACAAAATATTCCACAGGAACAAATAAGCTTATAAACACATATTGTGAAGTGGCTCAAAGTGGTAGTTTATCCTTCACACGTCCATTTGTCATCTGTCGGCTGCAGAAACTCACCGTAGCTCATCCGTAAAGTAGGCTTTTCTCAGTTATCTATCTGCATAAGCGAATCTTCAGGATCTTCAGTTGATGACTTCATCGAAAAGAAGATTTTCTTCACTGAATTGTCTTTTGTTTTCTTCATATCTCAATGGGTATTTTTAATGATCATTAAATTGAAATCTGGAAATACTTGATAGTATATACCTGGGACAACTCTTCATACAAAATACGAAATCACTTCTCCTGTATCAATCCAGTGGAATTTTTTAGCGAACACACAGAATTCTGATTGTCAAAATTTAATCGTTTCTCAAAGTAGCCAATAGTTCACAGGAGTTCAAACCTTCCACAAGCTGTTGTTTTAAGTAACTACTTATTATAAGTTTGTGTTATTGAAATTTCTTTCGAATAGAAACTGTGCAGTGTTCTTAGAACTTTAACAGTTCCTTATGAATATTTCGTCAGACTGCTATTATTACTGTTTCTAGTGGAACATAGGGCTTCAACTGCACGTCTCCACTTGCTTCTGTCTTGTGCTGTGCTTTTCACCTCCATCTATGTTAGTCCATACTGTTTCAACTCCTCTTCACACGATCTCCTCCGTGTCACCCTTGCACCGATGACCTACTCGCCCCTTCCCATTCTGTCGGGTTCCACTTGAGCGATGGCCTGACACGCACGCGATGTCACCCAGCGGCGACCTCCTCAGCGAGTGTCTAATCCATCTCAGTCCACTTTCTCCTGCATATTTGTTGGTTGGCAATTGGATCTTGTTTTGTTTGTTCCCACAGTTTCTTATTGGTGATTCTTTTCGGCCCGGCCATCTGATCTTCAGTATAGAGCGAAGACAGTTAGTTGTTGATAAAGGTCTGCAACAGGCTATTGGAAGTATTCATGTGACCCACCCGCCAAGTTTCTGACCCGTATAGACGAGCTGACTGACTTGACGTTTGTATTGAAAATCCGACCGAATTTTGTTGTTGATGCTGGCTGAGTGACGAAGATTTCCAGATTGGTTTCAGGTTGATGAATGTGTTTCTCACCTTCCCGATTCTCGCTCGATTTGACTTCCTCGTCCCTTCCTCCTGTAGTAGAGACAATGCTCCCCAGATTAGTGAATGAATCCATCCCGTTGATGGTGATTGGCGCTGGATGTTGCTGTTGTTGTTGTTGGTTGGTTGGTTAGAATCTATCAGTAAGTAGATAGAATAGTATATTCGAATCTAGAGTGTCTTATTGTTGATGTTTTCACTTGCAGCACAGACTTTTGGCACACTTCAATTATTCTCATTTACAAGGATTTAAAGTTGTCTAGAAATGGATTTTGACAGTTAATTAACTGAACAAAATCGTTGATTTAATGATCACCCCAAAAAAAGGAGACTTTAGACTATTGTGAAGAATTCTAGCTGATTTGAAATCCTTACTTATGTCAACTTATTCACTATTTTAGTTCATTCAAAATAACAACTAATCATGAAATAATGAGTTTTGAAGCACTTCTCACTGTCATTAGTCTATGAAAATGTTTAATTAAGAAATTAGAACAAGTTAGACATCTGGCCGATCATTTCCACTACTACTTCTTTTTCTTCTTCATTCAAACAAACCGGCAGGTGGCTTAAATTAATAAAATAAATAAACAAATATACGAACAAACAAACATTTGATCAACTCATTATCTATATATGTTCTTTCTGTCAACTCATTAGTAATAAAAAATAAATCTTTTGAACAATTCACAACACTGCAGTAAGTGTTATTGCCTTAAAAGTCCCTTTTCTTGTTTTTTTATCTTTGAAAATTTAAGTATTAATTACTTTCAGAGTTCAAAACAAGATCAAATTTTAATTGACATCATCATTCACTGTCATTATCATAATGCTCAGTCACGTGATTTACTCATTAGATCATGAGCAGTTCACGTCCATATGGCATTGTTACTTTCTAAATTACTTATTTTGAAGATATCTGCATCATATTACAACAAAGAAATTGAAACTAACAAACATTTATCAGTCATACAAATGGTACCCAGGCCATGGGAGTAGAACATTGTCAAGAGGCTCATGAAGAGAAATAAGACAGCTCATTTCTTGAATACCTTTTTCTTACACATCATTCTGCAGCAACATTAAAGATGAAATGTAGAATTAGATCGAACCGTTCGAAGAGTTTGTGACTGTGAAGTCTTTTTTAAAGAGAGAGAGAGCTGTCTCTGTAGTTATTACTCTTGTGAATAATATTTCTGTTTCCAAGCGCTTACAATGAAAATATAAACCGCTTTTAAACTCTATCTAACGCTGAATGATTTAGCCTGCGTAAAACTATTACACTAAGTCTCTACAATTTACGTATTTCCATTGTAATGTTATTTTTGCCGTCTGACATCATTATATGATACTATATAAGGTCAGAAATCACGTTCTGTAGGAAATTAGTCTGTGGTCATTCTCAAATGGTCTCAAGCGAACTGATATAGGTA